CAAGCGAAATACACACATACACACATACACACATACACACATACACACATACACACATACACACATACACACATACACACATACACACATACACACATACACACATACACACATACACACATACACACATACACACATACACACATACACACATACACACATACACACATACACACATACACACATACACACATACACACATACACACATACACACATACACACATACACACATACACACATACACACATACACACATACACACATACACACATACACACATACACACATACACACATACACACATACACACATACACACATACACACATACACACATACACACATACACACATACACACATACACACATACACACATACACACATACACACATACACACATACACACATACACACATACACACATACACACATACACACATACACACATACACACATACACACATACACACATACACACATACACACATACACACATACACACATACACACATACACACATACACACATACACACATACACACATACACACATACACACATACACACATACACACATACACACATACACACATACACACATACACACATACACACTTTCACACGTACACACGTACACACGTACACACGTACACACGTACACACGTACACACGTACACACGTACACACGTACACACGTACACACGTACACACGTACACACGTACACACGTACACACGTACACACATACACACATACACACATACACACATACACACATACACACATACACACATACACACATACACACATACACACATACACACATACACACATACACACATACACACATACACACATACACACATACACACATACACACATACACACATACACACATACACACATACACACATACACACATACACACATACACACATACACACATACACACATACACACATACACACTTACACACGTACACACGTACACACGTACACACGTACACACGTACACACGTACACACGTACACACGTACACACGTACACACGTACACACGTACACACGTACACACGTACACACTTACACACATACACACATACACACATACACACATACACACATACACACATACACACATACACACATACACACATACACACATACACACATACACACATACACACATACACACATACACACATACACACATACACACATACACACATACACACATACACACATACACACATACACACATACACACATACACACATACACACATACACACATACACACATACACACATACACACATACACACATACACACATACACACATACACACATACACACATACACACATACACACATACACACATACACACATACACACATACACACATACACACATACACACATACACACATACACACATACACACATACACACATACACACATACACACATACACACATACACACATACACACATACACACATACACACATACACACATACACACATACACACATACACACATACACACATACACACATACACACATACACACATACACACATACACACATACACACATACACACATACACACATACACACATACACACATACACACATACACACATACACACATACACACATACACACATACACACATACACACATACACACATACACACATACACACATACACACATACACACATACACACATACACACATACACACATACACACATACACACATACACACATACACACATACACACATACACACATACACACATACACACATACACACATACACACATACACACATACACACATACACACATACACACATACACACATACACACATACACACATACACACATACACACATACACACATACACACATACACACATACACACATACACACATACACACATACACACATACACACATACACACATACACACATACACACATACACACATTCACACATACACACGTACACACGTACACACGTACACACGTACACACGTACACACGTACACACGTACACACGTTCACACGTACACACGTACACACGTACACACGTACACACGTACACACGTACACACGTACACACGTACACACGTACACACGTACACACGTACACACGTACACACGTACACACGTACACACGTACACACGTACACACGTACACACGTACACACGTACACACGTACACACTTACACACATACACACATACACACATACACACATACACACACACACACACACACACACACACACACACACACACACACACACACACACACACACACACACACACACACACACACACACACACACACACACACACACACACACACACACACACACACACACACACACACACACACACACACACACACAGACACACACAGACACACACAGACACACACACAGACACACACAGAGACACACACAGACACACAGACATCATCGCGAAAATAGTCAAAACAGATTCAGGTGAACTCAAAACGTAAAAATCCGTCGAAAACTCGAGGTCGAAAAAAATCATGATTCCTATACTTTCCTTATATCTGTATACAGATAGGAAAGTAAAAATATAAAATTTCTTGTTAGTTTTAAATTTACTTCTGTAATTAAAATTTAAATGAATCAGAAGTTAATGACATTCTTAAGATCCTCCCTCAAGTTAAATTAGTTAAATTTAACTTACACTAAATTAATACAAATTACATTTGAAAAAAATATCACCTACATTTGAAAATAAAAATAATGTCAGGCTGACATATTTATGGCAACATAACCTAATTTATTTTCAAAGCCAGATTTAAACCATCTCATAATATTTAAATTTAGCTTTAACTTTATATTTATTAATGATTATCCCTGTATTTGATCACACATTTTTTTTATGTAAAACGGGTTTGAATTTAGTGATAGCAGCGCGCTAAGCGCTTACGGTTGAACTACCAACAAGGAAACAAGTCCCGCCATTTATTCAAACCTCTTTTTATTTTTCTATGGTTGAGTATGCCCATATCTTTGGCACTGTTTGCATTGGGGTATCACTGGCTCAATTTGGATTATTAGGTTTTGTAATGTCTTAATTTTGTAAATTCTTTTAACATTTTCAAATGTTAACATGAATAGCGATAATGGCTTTTTTATAACAGTCTTTATGACTTGACTTCCACTTTTTTCTTCTTTAGATAGATTCTCTCTGTTGGATATTAACCACTTCCAAGATTTTAAATCCATTGTACTTTAATTCTTCAGCTATATCTTCTAGCTTGCAGGTAAGGTTTAGGTTTCTAGCCATTACTATTATTGGTCTGGTGCGTTTCATCTCATATGAATGCAATTGATAGCATTGGTTTGAGACAACTGTTGTTATTGTTTTATATTCTTGTTCATCTTTTACATTTAATTTAATTTCATCGTTACTTAGTATGGTAGCTACAAAATTGTGTTGCTCACTTATTATTTTTTGTTTTAACTCTTCAAAGTTAGTATTACTGGTGGTGGTAATTTTTGTTTTGGTTGTTTTTTTGTGCAATAACACTTTGTTGAGCGTTTTCATTTGAGTTTGCTACTTTTTGTACGTTGTATTATTCTATGGTTGTTTGTTGAGGTGACACTTGCGGAGATTCTCGCATTTTTCGTTTTTGCTATTTTTTTTGCTTTTTTGTACAATCCAAGCTATTTCTTTATTGACTATTTCTTATTCTGAGTCTGTTTCGATATGTTGTTTTTGCATAACATCATTTCTATTTGTTGTATTCTTAATTGCATTTGCTTCAATTGTGTAGTCAGCTTTTCTATAGCCGATTCTTTTTTTAAAAGTACATCTCTATATTTTCGCTAACTCTCTCATGGGATGATTTTTTGCGCTAAATGCGCTTCAGAAAATTCGGATTTGTTGATTTTCTCTACAAAATTTAGAACTGTTTTTATTGGCACACTTATTTTTGTTTTTAAATCTTAACTTTAGCAATCATTTAAACTACATTTACAGATGAATATCTAGTAGATAAAAGGTTTGGTACACGTGATTAGATAAGCTACAATATTGCATCAGAAAAGTAATTAGAAAATATGTATATATGAGTTTATGTAATAATTATTAAAGCATCATTAATTGACAAATTTGGTACCTTAACGTTTGTTGGCAGCATGTTGTCGTGTTTTTTGAAAAGAAATAACTTGTAAGGAATAGTTTAGGAGCAAATAGATGAGACTATCGGTAAAATGATAGTGATGATTGCATGTAGATACAGACAAAGTAAAAAGTGGTTGTATACTGTTAGTAGTGATATGAGGGCAAAGGAAATAATTATTACTTAAGGTAATAATTATAATAAGCTAGAATAAAAGAACGAGATAAATTTACATAATTATGATATTTAAGTGTTTATTTTGAATAATTTTTTTTAATAAATCCTCGCACCTTTTAGCTTTTTATAAAATAAATGTAAAAATAGTCCTAATGTTCATAAAAAAAATTAAACACTTCGTGATAAATAATTCTAACCGATAATATACAAGTTTAACCACTAAAAAACGGTAATTTTTTTCTAACATTGTGACATATATTTATTATTTATGTCCATCCATATAAAAATGAAATATGAATACTGAAATTTGGACGCGTTTGCTGTAATTTTTTTGGTTTATCGAATGAGCCAGTCCAACTTTTGAAATAAAAAATTCAGTGACTCATCAACTAAATTAATAAAGTAATTATAAAAATAATAAGGAGAAGCAAATTGCTAAAATCAAAATTTTGTAAAAATTAAACACATCTGAGTTACCATATGTAATTTTAATAACCTCAATAACCTCTATTTTATGTACACAACTACCATACTATAGTGATAAGTGCTTATCAAAGTATATAGGTATATCTAAACAGAGATAAGATATAATTATAAAAAAAAACATCTTTAATCTCTACAGCTCTTTGGTATATGTGCTTGCGCCAGTATATCACAAGCAGTGACACTTTCAAAACCAAATTCGTAATTTCAATAGCCAGTTATTATCAGGTCAGTCTTAAAATTAATTGAATTACATTTCTGTTTAAAACGTTTTGTGAAATATTATACCGATCGATGGTACCTAATAAAATAATATTTCTCTCATTCTAAAAATATATATACACTGTGTCCCAAATTCACACCGTCTCTATATTGGCATCTTATTTGATATATGACATAGGAGGTCGATTGAATGAGGAATGTTTTAGAGAATTTGAAATTTATTTAGAATTTATTTTTAAAATTATTTAACCGATTTTGTTATTTTTTAATGGTGGCCTAAATGTTAATTTGACACATTTTAAAGTATTACATTTTTGAGACACGTTTTAATAGAAAATATTTTTGTGAAAAAGTTTTCTCATTTTATCTTTTCGGGCTACCTAATGTAACTTTGTTATTTCTTGTGGTGACTAACTTGGATTTTAACATAATATTGACCTCGAAATAATAACCTTTTAGACGATGTGCCACATGGTATCCTAGAAAAATATAGGCCCTCAATTGTAGTTTTCCTTGATTTATCGAAAGCGTTCAACAAAATCGACCATAGAAAGTAAAAATAAAACCTACATTAGTACAAGAGAAATTTCAGGGGTGCTTCAGGGGACGGTTTTTAGGCATCATACCTTTTAATATATACTTAATAATATGTTTATGATAGAAATAAATATTAAAATCATTAGTTTTGCGGACGATTCCGTATTCTTTTGCGCAGAAACGGCAAAAGGCGTGGGCGACGTGGGCCACCGCTCGCGGCCTGAAGGGCCTCCCACTTTAAAAGTTTAATGCATCTTTTTTTAACTTATGAAAAATATTTATTTTGTTTCTTTCTCACATCTGACCTACCTATATGTAAGCAAAAATCATATAAAAGAATGTTAACTTTCAAACACTCTGTATTTTAACTTTAATATAAAAAATAACGAGTAACGAATTATTTTAAATAAGAAAGAATGCCAAATTCTAAAATTATCAAAATCTGTTTTTTGTTCCAATATATCTCTTGAAGTGGCACCGTAGTGATATAACAAATAGGTAATATCATTTTTCTACACCCACATGGATATTAGCTTATCTACGCTCAGATCACAAAACGAAAAAGTATGCTACTACTAAACGAATATATTTTATATCCATTCTAGGTAATGAGAACACTGCAAAAAAATGAAATCCACCAATCACAATTCATATTTTGGACACCCAACTACTATTATTTTTAAAATTTTAAATAAGTGATAATTCTGTCAAAGTAATTGTCAGTATATTTTTTACTTTCCTATCTGTATACAGATATAAGGAAAGTATAGGAATCATGATTTTTTTCGACCTCGAGTTTTCGACGGATTTTTACGTTTTGAGGTCCCCTGAATCCGTTTCGACTATTTTCGCGATGATGTCTGTGTGTGTGTGTGTGTGTGTGTGTGTGTGTGTGTGTGTGTGTGTGTGTGTGTGTGTGTGTCTGTAGGTCGCATAACTCATGAACCGATACACAGAAAAACACCAAATTTTAAACTTAAGCTTTATTCTAGCGTCTAATGAACTGATTAGATTTTGGGCAGAGTCGGAACATCTGGGGGGGTACTTTATAGGTAGTCATTTTTATATATTATGAAATATATCTGTTATTTACGTTTGGAGAAGAAAATTCTTCAAATAAAAGTTACTTCTAATATAATTATCTATAATTTTTGTTCTATACAAAATTTTTCTAAAATGGTTCGTATTCGAGAAATTTGACAAAATGTAAAAAAAAATATTTTTTTATAAAAAGTGTTTAAACAAAAGTTGTTTGTAATATAATTAAAGTTGAAGGTGGTAGCCATGTGTGAGTTATAAGTTCAAAAAGGTAAATCAAACGAGGGTGGTCCTTAGGATCTCACAAGAGTATTTTATTACGACCGGTTTCGAGGATCAGATCCTCATCATCAGGTAAGGTCTAAAAATAGAGAGGAAAAACGAATGAGCTCATAACTAATTAAGTGGGTTTAAACATTTTAATATGAAAGTTGTCAAATATCAAGAACTCACCCGTAATTACTCATCTATTTAAGACTAAGCTAAGAGAATTATCCCAGGGTCGGTGTAAAAACAAGTATGCGAGTATTTTTTAAAATACATAAAAAAAATTATAAAAAACAATAGTTGCAACAAAAAGTTGATGTCAAAACACATAAACAAAAGTAGGTCTAAAACTATTAATTAAAATTATTAAAATATTTCACGAACGGACGAACAATTAAGACAAACAAATTTAAAAACGTTTTAAACCCTACAAGCACTAAAATGGGTTCTTGGACAAGTGTTTATAATTCTACAGGAATTAAATTTATTTAGATTAAATATACTGATTAACGCCCTCAAGATATAAATAGACGAATTAACCATTCTAATATTTAAGATAACAGTTTAGAGGTTGTCAAATTTAAATATTTTGACCATCGGCTAATAGATGGCGTTGGCGAAAAAAAATAAATGTTTCTTAATAATAATATAGGTTTATAAAATGAATTGTTTGAATTTGTACGTAATAAACAAAATGAAATAAATAAATTATTATTGTTAAAAGTAGAGTCTAGCATTAGCGTTGGAAAATAATTTTAGATGTACTAATATTCAAATTTAGAAGTTGGTAACAGTCAACGGAAAAGGAAATGGCGTTAAAATGAAAAGAGAGAAAAAACTATTGATTTGGTTAATTATTTTTTGAAGTAATGTGCTGAAAAATGAAAATGGAAAAGGAAACAGAATAAAAATAAGGAATAAGATAAGTATAACTAATAGAATTTCATAGGGAAAATTTTAAAGTAAAAGGGGGGGGTAATTTAAGGGAAACGTAGATTTTTAAAAAAGAACTGAGAACGTGGGAGTGGATTCGGAAAAAACTTGTGAGTTTAGTGATAATGCATTGTTACTTTTTCTTAATCTAAATATTTCTAGGTTCTCCAAATTATTTAATATCAACTTGTTGTGGCAAATATGGAGTACCCTAAAGCCATCCCCTGAGTCAAAATCGTGGTTGGATTCTACTAGATGGGTGGCAAAATGTGAGAAGCCGGTTGTGGCAGTATTCAAACATCTTAAATGTTCTTTAAGTCTAGTCCTAAAGTTACGAAAGGTTCTACCTACATATTTGGCTGGGCAAGTTGTAAGTCTTGAGTAATTATGAGTAATTATGAGTAATTACGGGTGAGTTCTTGATATTTGACAACTTTCATATTAAAATGTTTAAACCCACTTTATTAGTTATGAGCTCATTCGTTTTTCCTCTCTATTTTTAGACCTTACCTGATGATGAGGATCTGATCCTCGAAACCGGTCGTAATAAAATACTCTTGTGAGATCCTAAGGACCACCCTCGTTTGATTTACCTTTTTGTAATATAATTCTCTATAATTTTTATTTCTCTAAAATGGACTGTATTCGAGATATTTGAGAGAATGTGTAAATTTCGAATTTTGAAGAAAACTCAAAAAGGGATAAAGAAAAAAACATTAAATTTTAAACTTAAGGTTTATTTCGGCCTGACGTGAAATGATTAGATTTTGGACAAAGTCGGGACATCTAGGGGGGTACTTTATGGGAGGCTGTTTTTATATTTTATTGAATATATCTGTTATTTATGTTTGGAGGAGAAAATTGTTCAAATAAAAGTTACTTCTAATATTATTATCTATAATTTTTGTTTTATGTCAAAATTTCCTGAAATGGTCCGTATTCGAGAAATTTGACAAAATGTGCAAAATTCTGATTTTTATGAAAATTGTTAAACTAAAAGTTGTTTGCGATATCGATCTCTATAATTTTTGTTTATACATGATTTTTCTAAAATGGTCCGTAATGGAAAAGTGCTAAATTTAAATTTTTCAGTATTTTCGTTTTCAATGAATATCTATAGAAAAATGTTTCGAGGTAGATGTATGTGGACAATGTATATATTTAGTTTATCCTCTAAACATTTATAGAGATGCTGCAATAGGTTGTACAAAATAACCGGAAAAAGCCTATAATAACTAGATAGGAAAGTCATGTGTTGGACACATCAGATTTTTAGTTATTGAGATTAAATATACATTAAAAAGAAAATTATTTTTGTGTAGAAACGATAAATGATAGCATTTTTATTTTTATTTGGTTAACATTTTGAAAATTTTTATCAAACTTTATGAAACTAATTTAATTACGAGTATTAAAACTAAAATCACAAAAGTGGCCGTGGAGATGTGGGCAGAGCATCTGCCTTTCACGCGAATAGCCCGGGTTCGAATTTGGGCTTGGGGAGCGTTCAAGTATTACGTAACGCAATTTTTGGAGATTTTTAACCCCCCCTCCCCCCATGTAACGCGCCGCAACGTTTTTCTGTACCCCTCCCCCCTAGTAAAACGTTACGTAACTACCAAGTGACTATTTTTATCTAAAAATCACAGTTATGTGGCTTAAAGTACCGGAAAGTCGCTAAAATACGCGACTTTTCTGAAGGGTTAAAAAATAATAATGTTACATAACGGGAAGTTCAACTCTCCCTCTCGCCCCTGTAACGCATCGTAACGTTTTACAAAACCCCTCCTCCCCCCCAAATTCGTTACGTAATACTTGAACGCTCCCTTGGGGAAATTAATTTTTTTTTATAAATTAATTAAATTAATAAATTATTTTAAAATTTATTTATTTTGTCTTAACAACCTAAAATATTTTTTTAAATTTGTAGATTTTTGTTAGTGGGTCGTAGAAAAAATATACTGTACAATTCGAGTGGATTGTCCATATCTACTCTTGTTGCACAAACTATAATTTCCATTTAGTAGGTATGCTAAATTGGTAGAATCCTGTAAATGGCCATATATTCGCTTATTTTGTTTTCTGTTTGTATAAACAGATTTTGATGTGAGAATGAGGTCCACTGATTAAAAGAGATAAATATTAAATAAAAAGTAAACCTGTCCATTAAACTAAAATAAGTAAACAAAATAGTTAGAATCGTTAAAAGTCTTGCTCGTTAAAGTGGAATA